ATTTCACCATGTTAAACAGTGAAACGCAGTGTGCGGAAACCAAATGCAGAATAATGTAGGCAGACTGATAAGGACAAAGCATGGCATATATAGTTCCAATTGAACATTCAGGAATCCAGCATTGTGACCACCCTAATGGAAGCCAACTTGCAGACAACAGGAAGTCATCAGAGAAACATTGCAGGAACATTTCATTGCTGGCAAAGCATGCAAAAATGTTGCACTACTAACTGTGATTTAATTGGCAAGGCAACATTGCTCCAAACAAATGAATACTTATTTTCATCGGTGGTTTTGGATGTACATTTGGAAGCTCATCCACAATTTATCATAAATGTTGGCTGTCATAGTTGTTCCACTCTATGTTAGATTAGCTAGCATATAAGGAAAAACAATAGGTAGCAAGAAGGTGCAAATTATTGAAAGATGAGGAAAGAAGCTTACAATTGATTCCTATTGTAGTATGGAAGGACAAAGATATACCTACACAGAAGACACGAGAATTTGTATTTGTTTTGGATAGAGCAACGACCTTTGGTAAAGTGAGACATGTAACATACGCGGACACGCCGTGATATCGAGGTAGGATTCAGTAGATCCTGAACTAAACTTGAGAGTTCATCCCTCTATGCCTATGACAAGATATAGAATTAGAGACAACCTGTAGAATTAAGAAAAGTAACAATACAACGAATTGTAATTGCTATTTTCCATCTATAGGTGAAAATAGATAAGTAGTATTGTTCTACTTGGACAGAGAAGGGGAATCGCTAACAAAACAAAAACATGTAACAAGACAAACTGCCCAATATGAAGTTCCTTCGTCTATATTTTTGGAGCAAAAAAAGCAGCAACATATGGTCCATTGGCAATGCAGCAGCTTGTCATAGTAATGCAGCATGTTGCCACAGAAACTGACAGTAATCAACGGAATTAGGTAATAACCCGATAGTTCAAGCGGCAACCGGAGGCTCATAGGTCTGCCACCCTTCACTGTTATGACCATACCATCAGACAGAAAGACATTTTTCACGGCATCGAGAGGAATCAAGTATAAAAATTAGATTTTATTGTGAACGTTGAACTAAACTAATCCGGTCGATAAATAATGAGCTGATAAGGTCAACGTGCAACACAAAAAGCTCTGCATAAAAACACCAGTCATCATCTGCTGCTTATAAGCAACTTTTCAAACAGACTTTACCGAAAATGATTTAAAATCTTTAGATAAGTAGGCCCGAATTAATTTTAGAACCAGAATCTAAACGCAGTTAATGGAGTGATGAGAGAAGAACACAGCTTTCATTTCCAGATTTTTACTCTGATGCTAGAAAACCCTCCACCACCATCTTGTTTGTAAAAGTTGAAACTCGATTCTGCTTTAGCCCCAAAATACAAAAGTTAGTGACACCACAATAATTATTTTTTATCTAGAATTAGAGGTTTTTCAGCAACCAGCCAAAGAAATTCTACGAAGCATGCGAGCTGACCAAAGGAAATAGCAATCAACAAAGTTGAATTTTAACTTATCAGAATGGAAAATAATGTGGCCTATAACCATTGAGGCTAAATCTAAACATAAAGTTCAGCAGGTGGGCACAAGCACCTTTGTAGTGAGAAAAAAACTCTTGATTCCTAGAATCAACCATAAACTCTATCGCTTGCCTTCCTAGAATCAGTGGTTCAGCACAAGCTCTTTCACAGTGGATTTCCAAGAAAGTGGAGGGAGATAAATAGAAATAAATACATCAGTGGTTGGACAATATATTATAAGGTCGGAGAAAATGGAATCACAACTGCTGAATAGATAGGTAGTATGAGCGTGCAGTAGCTACCTCCGCTGTTTGTGAGATGAACCTGCACTGCTATTGCCCTTTTCTTTCCGCATGTGGTCTTCCGTTGTGGCCCTGTAAATCATACATGTAGCTCTTATAGGAAAGCAAACCTAGCTTTTGTGTTCCTGTTAGTGTGCTTTATGTAATGCATGTTGAGGTCTGTTAGCAAGACCAATGGTCTGTGCTATATTCTCCCACGCATTATAGCATGGAGCCATGTATTTTAAGGCTGCAGAAAATTACCTCCTTGCCCAGTTCTTTGACGCTGAAGGAGCTGCCTTTTTTATCCATTTTGTTAGTTTTGTCTGTGTTCTCTTCATCACTTTCTTTGTCCTGTATTTTTTAAATAGATCAGAGACTTTATGGACCAATAAGATGCATTGGAAGGCTATGATTAAAGGAACGAATACCATGTTCTTTGTACTGACATGGGAAAAAAAGGGTCATGCATCTGAGAATAAAGTAGTGGGAAAAGGATAGAGGTAACTCAATTCATTGCACATAATGATGTATAGGTTTCACTGCAAAATTTAAATTTTCTGTTTTAGTATATTGAATTGATCTATGTAAAGGAGCAACTATTTGCTTTGGTTTCATGGATGTCTTAATTTTGCTGGTAAAACCAGCTTTTTAGATCTGCTCTATTGATTTGATTTGCCAGCAAGCGGAAAAATGTGTTTTGCAAGCTGTCTATACAAAACAAATCCCTGAAAGCTATATAATCTAGTATGGCAAAACCGTATATAGCGTGCAGGCACCTAAGGGCCTGAGAAGTGGCGCCTCCATAGGCGCGTGAGCTATCTGTCTGAGGATGAATTGTATCTGCTAACCCTTTCCATGAAGTGTGAAGTGGCATCACTATAAAAAGAGCCAAAGTGTACTCAGAACAAAAAGAAACAGGAGATCCAAAAAAGTGATCACCGACAACCAAAGCATGTGACAATGTAATCTCCGGGAATAGGGTATGTGCTCAGAACCAATAGTGTATAATCTGTGGAGACAAGCGATGTTCACAGACAATGATCACAGGCATACAATGAAGAGGAATATCTCTGACTTCCTAGGCAATAAACAGGAGCTCAGATTGGGCAACCATATGTGTTTTGACATCACAGACAATGATCATAAGCAAGCATGACCGCAAAACCAAAGGCAATGATTACATTAGACAAAAGGAGAAAGCATCAGAGGCAATGACATCACAAGCTGTGCATTTCAGTGGGGGTTCCGTCAAGGAGATGGCATCCACATCAGGCAACCACCTCAGTTATCGCTTAACAGGCAGAAAAGAGATGAAAAAAGCAAAATCAACACCGTTCATGATCATTGCCTCAGTTATCAACATAGTAGGTAGATGTAAAGGAAGAATCATCATAGCTCCTGAACATTGCCTGAGTTACCAGGGAATAAGAAAGAGATGTAAACTGTGTAACGGCAGCCTACGATCACTGCAAATCAGACATTAAACATGGATTACGATGCAATCATCACAGCAGCAGCCCATTCCCTCAAACTAAATTGTAACAAGAAAAAAGTTAGTCATCATTGCAGGTGACCAAGATGCAAACAATAGACCCAAAATCATCAGGGATGCGCACCAAGAAACCAAACAAATATCGTTGACATGGCCACGTGCTCAGCTGTATGGCACAACAATGCCTGCTGTCAAGATCCAATAGAACCGAGGAGGCCACACCCTACAGAACGCAAAACAAAAGTAGTAGTAAGCTAGGGTTTCCTCCATTAGAGGCCAACAGGTCGCCCGCACGTAGATCAACGTCCACAGCGAAGGGGAGCGAGCCTCCGCGAAGCTGCTGGGAGAGGAAGATCCCGCAGGGAGAGGTACGAAGAGAGGGGGAGGAGGGACCAAACCGAGGAGAGGATGAGGCAAGGAACACCGGAGCTGTCGGGGCCGTGGACTTCTCGAGGAAGAGCAGACCTGCGCCGACTATCTGCAGGAGCTAGCGCGGAGGGGAGCCGCTTTGGCCGTCGGCGGTGGCTGCCCGCGCCGCTCCGCCACGTGAGGCCCACGCCACCTGCAGCGTGCCGTGCCGTGGGGGCCTGCCCACGCAGGGAGGTGGGGGGAAGGGAGGGGGCGGCCGAGCTCTGCCCGCGCCGGCGTGCCATCGCACGGCAGAGATGGAGGGAGGGAGCGAGGGAGAAAGGGGAGAGGAGACGGAGTAGACGAGGAGACACTGGGAGAAGGCAGATATTTTTGTACGGATCAGTGAATAGGGGCTACTAACAGATCTGGACATCCAAGCTACAATCAAACGGACCAAAATAATTTTGCTACCGTCGATGGCCTGAGCATCGACCAAAGTAACCTGCTTTGATAAGAGTAGATGTGTGGATTCTATTTATCATCAACCTCCAAGGAGTGTGTGGCAGGGCCGTGCCCCATGCATGTGCAAGACGTGCGACCGTACATGGCCTCCCATTTGTGGGGGCCTAAAAAATTACGGTTCCGACTCTATAGGATTGGTTGCCAACGTTGCATCTCTTCTCAGTGACGTTACAAAATCCATCTAGCCTTTATCGGCCCGTCTCCCAATCTAAGCGTCTCCATCTTGCCAATCAAGCAAGCCGATGCCGAGTGACTTTTGCTCCATCTGCACAGTGGAGGCTACCAAGGGTTGAATATGTACCATTCTTGATTTATCGTAATGCTATATACATGCTATTATCGTTCTATTTATCTAGGCTGGTAGGACATATTTTAGAGTTTGGAACAAGGCCCTAGATTTTACCGGCACGGCCCTGCTGTGTGGCTAATATGCACGATAATGATATGATAGGGTTGGAGTGGAACAGAGACACCACCAACGTCCAACGAGAATGGTCCAGGTGGATAATGGAAGGCATGACGAAGCTGCATCTGATTTAATTTGAACGCCAAAAACACGTAGGATGGATCGGACACTGGGAGGGAAAAGCTAAACCCTAACTAAAGCGACGTCAGTTTGGGTTAGTCGTTAAGTGCAGCAGATCAGTGATTGATAATCTTAAGCTTGTGCTCATGAGTGCTTATTGGCAGGCTGGGCCTATAAATTGAGAAGCCATCCCCTCTCCCTGCTCTGCAATGCAAACTACCACAGCAGAGTGATCAGCAAGCAAGCTTCTCACTCATCAGCACAGCACCTGGCGTTAGTGAAGCTAGTAGCCATGAAGGTAGAGCGCGACCTCCACATGAGCCGGGGCGACGGCGAGGACAGCTACGCCTCCAACTCCAGGCTTCAGGTACTGTACCTGTGCTTCTTCTTCTACATCATGCATGTCTCTGCCGATCTGCTCATGCATCTGCATGCGCATGTATGGACCTGTATGTATGCATGGCCGCATATATATGCATGCTCGTCTCAACACTCGCTTATATATATATGCATACATGTCATGTTCCTCAGGAGAAGTCCATACTGAAGACGAGGCCGGTGCTGCACAAGGCCGTGGCGGCGGCGCACGCGTCGTCGCTCTCCTCCGGCGGCGGTGCCATGGTCGTCGCGGACCTCGGCTGCTCGTCGGGGCCCAACACGCTGCTCGTCGTCTCCGAGGTGCTCGGAGCGGTCGCCGACCGACGAGAGGATGGCGATGGCCGCCGCCGGCTGCAGCCAGCCCCCGGCGACGCACGTGCAGTTCTTCCTGAACGAGGGTTCAGTATAGATTTCCATTGATGGATGGTGTTGCACAGGAGAAGAGAACAGAGCAGAGCAGACCTCTTTGAAGTGGGACTGAAGAGCCTGCGCGAGGAGGCCCCACATGTAGCTGACCTCGCCACGGAGCACGTCCTTGTTCTTCCTGCCGAGGAACGCCAGCACCATCTGGCCGTCGGACACGAGCTCCCTGTGGCGCAGCCTGAGGAACAGCGAGAAGTCCTCCTGGAACTGCCGCCGGTACAGCGCCACCACCGCCGGCGGCGTGGTCTCCCAGATGTACATGTTGCCCTCGTTGAGGACGGCGCCACCCGCGAGCTCCTCGGGGACCTTGGAGCGCCACATGAGGCAGTAGGAGGAGTGGAAGAGGTGCACGCAGCGGTCCGGGAACAGCCGGGTGTAGAAGGAGCCCGACTTCAACCTCGTGTTCCAGTCGCTGGAGCTGTTCAAGAAGATGGCCGTCAAGGACAAGGGGACGCGCTGCCGCCGTACTACGTCGCCGGGCTGCCGGGCTCCTTCTACACCCGGCTGTTCCCGGACCGCTGCATGCACCTCTTCCACTCCTCCTACTGCCTCATGTGGCGCTCCAAGGTCCCCGACGAGCTCGCGGGTGGCGCCGTCCTCAACGAGGGCAACATGTAAATCTGGGAGACCACGCCGGCGGCGGTGGTGGCGCTGTACCGGCGGCAGTTCCAGGAGGACTTCTCGCTGTTCCTCAGGCTGCGCCACAGGGAGCTCGTGTCCGGCGGCCAGATGGTGCTGGCGTTCCTCGGCAGGAAGAATAAGGACGTGCTCCGTGGCGAGGTCAGCTACATGTGGGGCCTCCTCGCGCAGGCTCTTCAGTCCCTCTTCAAAGAGGTCTGCTCTGCTCTGTTCTCTTCTCCTGTGCAACACCATCCATCAATGGAAATCTATACTGAACCCTAGCTAGTAATCAGCTTCCTGATGCATTTGCATGCATGGCACCATCACCATGGCAGGGCCGTGTGGAGAAGGAGAAGCTGGACTCCTTCAACCTGCCGTTCTACGCGCCGTCGGTGGACGAAGTGAGGGACGTGATCAGGCAGAGCCAGGCGTTCGACGTCACCCACATCCAGCTCTTCGAGTCCAACTGGAATCCGCACGACAACATGGAGGACGACGGCGGCGACCTCGTGCTCGACGTTTTCCAGAGCGGCGTCAACGTCGCCAAGTCCATCAGGGCCGTGATCGGGCCCCTCATCGCGCACCACTTCGGCGAGCACGTACTCGACGATCTCTTCGAGCTGTATGCCAAGAGTGTCGCGGTGCACCTTCAGAAAGTGAAGACCAAGTACCCTGTCATCGTCGTTTCCCTCGAGGCAATTAGTCGCGCTCGCGCGCCAAAGAACCAAGCTAATGACAAGTATTATTCAGGTTTCACACATGGCCAGTTTATGTAGATCGAATCTGGAGTCAAGTTAGTTATTACTACTAGTACTATATACATGCAGAATTAATCTAAGAAATAAATTAAAAGTAGTTCAGGTACGGTTAGTGGCAGAACGAACATTTAATTTCCTTCACTACTACTTTGCTTTGGGTGTTGTAGCATGCAGGTCCAACCGGCGATCTGGTTAATTATGTACTGTAATGGTAATGGTAAATGAAAAGCAGATTGTTTGATAAAGGAAGATACTACTCCCTCCGTCCTAAAATACACGGATTCAGCGTTCAAAGTTCTATATAAGGTATTCTGCATTGTCCATTCGGACCTAAGCAAATTAAGCCTGGTCTAGCCCGCGGGCCTAGTCTGAGCACGCTGCGTTATCGCCCGCTTATGAGCCTTAGTGGACAAGGCCTAGCCACAGATCCCCCATTGTTTAGAAAAAAAATTCTAGATCCGAGCCTAGCATAAAATATTTATCTTAGCTATTTTACACCGTAAATTGCACGAGCAAGACCACCCAGGCCCGAGCCGGCATGAAAATCAGGCCTGACTCGTCCAATGGACAAACATGAGCAGGATTTTTTTTGGCTCGAAAGAACCGGGCTTTTTCGGCATGCCCCTCTCTCCTCTGTCTTCTTTAGCAATAATAAATTCTCTGTCTTTTTAGCAATAAATATAAATACTAAGCCTTTTAAACTTGTCATCACTCAAATCAGTTGGCTGAATTAAATAAAGTAACAATTGAACTACTTCCATCCTGTTTAGTGAGAGGCAAGGTGGTCTTTTGTCGGGCTCTTTTGAAAATCGCTTGGATACCTTGTATTTCATAATGGATGGAGTATTAAATTTCAAGAATATTACATCAAGTTAACAGAGTATCTTGAAAAATCTTCCGGCCTCTGCGCAGCAGGAAGTACACAGCCTATTATACAAAAGAATCGAATGAGCACAGAATGATGACTATCAATTCGTAGACTAGACTAGATCTCAGTCATATGGCCGAGAAATAAAATGTCTTGGCCACCCACACCAATTGTTAAGATGTCATTACAACTATTCTAATGAATCTAGAGGATAGCTCTAACTAGGTACATAGCCCAATGGTCTACTTGTCGTGCCCTTCGAAGTCAACGGTGGAGCGACTTCTCCACCAACAGGCAACAGGTATGTGTGGGGCCACCGTTGATAGCATCTCCTGATGTTTTGATGTCCTCGTCTAGCGTCTCTTGATCCAACGGTGGAGCGACTCACTCCATCAGGTATGTGTGGGGCCACCATCCACAACATCTCCTGATGTTGTGATGTCCCTATCTGGCCATCGTGCCGGCCTTCTCATTGTACCATCATTTTTTCCTAATATGTGGATACTCCGGCGGCAAAGCTCTTTCTTTTTTATTTCGCAGATGAGGACCTGCCGCACATGGATATATGTGACTTCTGATGGTGTGAGGACGAGCTAGCAAGGCATTGATATTGGCATCGGGCTCGATGGGCTCACTGTGTTTACTGATAGGTTTTAATTCCCTAACTAGGGACCTTATTATTTTAGTGTGCTCTTGACCAACTTGATGGTCCTAGGACAATCTTATTATATATGATCATTTTCATCCTAGACTTTAACCATGCAAGAGGTGAGTAGTTTTTGCATACCCTATGGTTATTTCTTCATTAAATTTTTAGGTCGAGCCCAATTAACCCTCTCTTGGCCATTTGGTCATTTCAAATATAAGGTTGGCGTGTCGGGAAGGCCTTTTCCTTGCAGCACGCGAAATGGTGTAGGAACCGGGCAATCCTTGAAACGGACTGAGCTCGGTTGCACGGATGTTGACAACATACAAAATGGACGAAGATCACATATGCGGTTCATCGTGGAGGAGGCCATTGAGTTGGAAATAGATTACCTCCACACAAAGAGAGAGTATAATCGTGCAGCCAATGAGATGTCACGACTCGCGAAGCGTACTAGACATTTGATTGTTTGACGCATCAACTCGCTGTTGTGTGTGGAGCGAATTATTCCTCGAGATTGTAATCCAAATTTTTAAGTAATGAATAAAGGTCTCTTGCATGCCAAAAAAAAAATCACAATGTGCTGCACTAAAATTAAAATTTAGTCAGCTTCAGATTTGATGCGCCATGATGGGACGTCCTCGAGTTCGATGAAAATTAGGTCACATCCACAGCGTGACAAAGGACATGAGAGATTAAAATAAGCTGTGTATTAGTGTGGTACTAGATTTAGAGACGCGTGAAGTGTTGTTGAAATTAGTGGTGCTAGTAGTAAGATGATATATAGGTTTGTTTTATGAAGGATACCGTATCTTTTTAGCCCCTTGGTATGCATTATGCATACAATTGTCTTTACAAAAAAAAGATATAAACGAAATTTGTGCACATGAGGTTGCAGAACAATAACAAGAAGAAGAAATTGACCAACGATATAAAAGCTATACGTGGCCGAAGTCAACGATGTGGCACCCTGCGGTGGCTCTCTCGTGCACCACCTCCACGACGTCGGCGAACTCGTCGGCGCCGGTGATATCGGCCCAGTTGTTGACGTCGTCACTGGAGCGAAATCCACGCACGTCGACGTAGCGGTACCTGTAGAAGAACATGACGGTGCAGCCGTGCAGGGCTTGTACTGGAGGTCGTACATGGCGTTTAAGTCCTGCACCTCGTCGATGTCCACGGCGATGAGCGCCGCGACAGGTCCGACCCGCTCGGCCGCGGCGACCATGGCGGCGTCGAAGCGCACGCAGTCGTCGTGGCTGCCGTGGCCGAACCGGACGACCGCTCTCGCCCTCGCCGTCGATGGCGTCGTTCACGGCCTCCGCCGAGTGCAGGTGCTCAACGTGGTACGCCATTTCAGCGGCGGCGGAACGCGCGAGCGAGCAGTGGAATAGCTTTGCGAAATATCACGCGGTGCACAATAACGAGGCCGGTTGTTTTTAAGGGCTCGGTCCAAAAACTCGAATCCGGCTCGGGCCGGACTCGGTCGGATGCTGTGCATGACTCGATCTCAGAAAACAAAAAACCCATCAACTCAACCGGCAGCAAGTACCCCTCGCCGATTTTATAGCGGCAGTAGTATTAGTTTGGGAGAATTCTTGGCACTAAAACAAATCACCCTTTCACGAGGCACTGGAAAATTTAAACTTTTTTATCTAGCGCTAACTTAAAAATCATTACATAAATGGTATTGCCATCCATTTCAGGCATCCCTCCGTTAGTTAACTAGGAAGACCATGTCAGCTTTTCATTAGAAGTACCAAAATGCCCATGTTTATTTTGGTCGCGCCCCTTCTCCCTCGAGTCTCCTGCTTTCTCCCGTCGCTCTTCTCTTCTGAAAACAAGAGACACGAAACCCTAGAGAGAATGGAGGCCGGAGGAGACGAGGATGGGGCAAAGGAGGCGCCGGCCGCCGGTGCCCAGGAACTCACGGGGTGGGTCCCCCAGCTCGAGGCGCCCCACAGTCAGCCAAGCTCGTCCATGGTCGCAGATCAAGGCGCGGGTCCGGCGGGGAACGCGGCGGCGGGGTGGGCTCGCCGGCCGGCGCTGGCCCCATCTCGCGGCGCGTCGCTGGGGGGCCCGTCGGCAGCTCGCGGCATGGCGGGGCGGCCTCGCCCGACGGCGCGGGGTGCAGGCCGCGGCGGGGCGAGCTCGCCCACCGGAGCTCCTTGAGGTGGAGAGAGCGTGCCCGTACCGCAGGGTGGCCTTGTTTTCCGACCGCAACTGCACTCTCGAACTTGCCGAGATCCGCATCTTCGGGACTGGTGGCATCTTCCGTGAGTTCTTCTTCTGGCCTTCTGCCATGCTTCGTAAGTTCGTATACAAAAAGTCTTGCCGGTTTTTTCAATTTTAACAAGCTTTGCTTCTAGGGAACACAGCCTTAGCTTTGCCATGCCACCTATAGATTTGTGGCAACTGATCGAGTGGCTCAGGATTGAAATTTAATTTGGAGATTTATATCGTCACACGATTGCTTAAGTTGCTGGAATGTAGCTATACAAAGTAGAAGCACAGGAGTTTCAGGAGCAGGCTAGCTAATGTCTGAGTGTGTTCAGACTTGTTTTGGCTTGTGTTAAATTTCTTTTAGCTTTGTCCTGCTAACCTGTGTGCTGTGTGCATTCTCGAAAGCAACGGTCAGAATTCGTATTCCATTGTTTAAATGAATATATGAGTTTGCTTTCTTTCTTACCCTGCACCTCGGTTTTATCATTGCCTAAGTGTTTTAACTCAATGGCCATATACATCCATTCGTGGATGCAGAGGCCAGAGTCCTTTATCTAAAAAAAAGTGTTTTAACTTTTAACTCAAACAAACATGTAATTGTTTAGGAACTAATGTTGACTTACATATGCATTAACTGAGGTTCTTGTGTGTTTCATTTCAGATGAAGGGAACATACTGAAACAAGTCATGGCTTCGGGATTGGTATTTCAAGCAATTGGATTTGGTTGCCTTTTCTTCTTGCTATTTCAGGAATGGCGCAGCCAGAAAAGAGGCACTTTGACGTAAGGCCCCACTCAAAACACAAGAGCTGATCGATCCCATATCTCGTTCTTAATCGAACTACTTCCTATAGTATCCATATAAAATTTCTGAAATACAGCTCATGTCTTCTAGAAGCAATTGATTGGATCTTTTTTTTTATTATTATCAAAATGCCACACCTTTGAACATTTCTCAGACTTTGAACTACCTGGACAAATATATAATTTACTTTGTTCTCTTACATTGTGCAGGCATTCCACCCCTCTTTTATCTGGAGATTAAAATGTTGGCAACACAATTTTGAGCTCCAGTGTTCACTAAGGCATATACAGATGCATGAAGGGATCGGATTTTCTCTCAGGGGAATGAATACTTCCTCTCCACATTGTAGGACTTCAATTTGATCGTTTCAAACAAGCGCCAATGTTCATTTCACCTACTCTGATGTTTTCCCTATAGAATTTCATTCCCACTTGTCCTTGTATTGAAATATGTGTGTGAATATAAAACCCCAAATTT